AGCTCTTTCTCTGTAATGGTGTAATTGACTTGGGCATAATTCATGGTCTTACTAGCATAGTACACCGGATGAAAAATCTCATTGATGTTTCCCCAAAACTGCTCCAACCCATATATCACTAGCATCGCACATGAACTCAAAAGGAATACTCCAATTAGGAGTGGTGATAGTGGGAGTAGTAGTCAACTTGAACTTTAGCAATTCAAAGGCTCTCATGCAATCATCATTGAAGTGAAATTTTGCATCTTTCTCTAAAATCTTGCACAAGGGGTTCACCACTTTGCAAAAATCCTTTATGAAGCTCCGGTAGAACCCCGCGTGACCCAAGAAACTTTGCACGCCTTTCACTGATGTTGGAGGTGGAAGTTTAGAAATCACCTCTATCTTCGCTTTGTCGACCTCAATGCCCTTCTTTGAAATTTTTTGGCCAAGGACAATGCCCTCCTCGACCATGAAATGGCATTTCTCCCAATTCAACACCAAGTTCGTTTCTTCACACTTTGCCAATACTTTATCCAAATTTGCCAAGCAATCATCAAAGGAATCCCCGACTACCGAAAAGTCATCCATGAAGACTTCAAGGTAGTCCTCGACCATATCGGTAAAGATCACCATCATACACTGTTGAAAAGTTTTCGGTGCATTGCATAAGCCAAATGGCATCCGCTTGAAAGCGAAAGTGTCATAGGGACAAGTGAAAGTTGTCTCCTCTTGATCTTCCAGGGCAATAAGGATTTGGTTGTAGCCCGAATAGAAAGCAATAGAAAGCACGATCGGCCAACCTATCAAGCATTTGGTCAAGAAAGAGGAGTGGTAAATGGTCTTTCCTTGTCACTTTCTTTAGCTTCCGATAGTCTATACACACTCTCCACCCGGTCACCTTTCTTGTTGGAATCAACTCGTTCTTATCATTGGTGACCACAGTTATGCCCCCCTTCTTAGGGACACATTGCACCTGAGAATTCCACGAACTGTCGGAAATGGGGTAGACCACCCCGGTATCTAACCACTTGATTATCTCCCTTTTTACAACGTCTTGCATGAATTCATTGAGTCTCCTTTGATGTTCTATTGAAGGTTTGGCATCTTCCTCCAAGTTAATCTTGTGCATGCAAAATGCGGGGCTTATTTCCCGAATATCTGCCAAAGTCCACCCAATAGCTTTATTCCTCTTGTGGAGCACTTCCAATGTAGAGTCAACCTGCACGTTAGTCAAATAAGAGGAAAGACTAAAGTAGAACAAGGGCCAAGGAATTCATACTTGAGATGTGGAGGCAATGGCTTCAACTCCAAGATAGGAGGCTCTTCAATTGAAGGCTTTATATGAGGAGTTTTCCTATTCTCAAGATCCAAGGAAATCTTCTGGGGTGCATAGTTGTATGACCTCATTCCTTGCAAAGAATTAAAATATTCCATGAAGCCATCCATCTCGTCATCATCAAAATTTAGCAAGACGGCCTCCAACATGTCACCCACATTAGTCGTGGCACTTGTATAATCAATAATCACATTGGTCACCAAGTCCACGAACGAACACACTTCATTGCTATTCGGTTGCCTCATAGATTTGCACACGTGAAACACTACATTTTCATCACCCACCCAAAAAGTGAGTTCTCCAGCTTCCACATCAATAAGAGCATTCCCTGTTGCAAGGAAAGGTCTACCAAGAATAATCGGGACCCCATAGTCCACTTCACAATCAAGAATAACCAAAATTCGCTGGGAGAATGAACTTGTTAACTCGAACCAATACATCATCAATCACCCCCAACGGTCTCTTCATTGTACGATCGGTCATTTGTAATCTCATAGATGTGGGTCTTGGTTGCCCAATTCCCAATGTATTGAAAACCGAATAGGGCATCAAATTGATACTCGCCCCAAGATCACAAAGAGATTTTGCAAACTCGGTACTTCCAATTGGTTCATGGTGGTAGTCAACTCGGCTATGGCTTGTCCATGATCATGCAACTCTTTGTGAAGGTGAATCACATTGGGGTCAACTTGTGGAACATTAGCTCAAGATTACCACGCCGAAGAAGTATCCGCCATCTCATCCAAGATATCACACACCTCCGCATAAGGCGTAGTCATGAAGTTCCCACCGGCAAGTTGATTCACTACACATTGGTTGGTTGTATTGATCCCCCGATAAAAAGTTTGTTGAATCATGTTCTCCATAATATCATTGTTGGGGCACTCTTTCACCATTGTTTTATATCTTTCCTATATCTCGTGTAGGGGTTCATTGGGCTCTTGCTTGAATGCTAGAATTTCATCCCGAAGAATAGCCATGTGCCCGGGAGAGAAGTACTTAGAGATAACTTTCTCCGCTAGTTCATCCCAAGTATGAATGGAATGATTTGGAAAATATTCCAACCAATCTAAAGCTTCCCCCCGTAGAGAGAAGGGAAAAAGCCTTAGCCTCAAAGCATCCTCGGAGATATTTGTTTGTTTGCTCCCTCGACACGTATCTACGAACCCCTTCAAATGTTTATATGCATTTTGACCCGGTGCACTGGTAAAGAACCCTCATTGCTCTAGCAAAGTGAGCATTATGTTGGTTATTTGAAAGTTTCCCACCCTAATACGGGGAAGGACTATAGCACTTGCATACCCTTCATTCGGCAATACCCGGTGTGGAGCCGCTCGTGGTGGAGGTAGGGATGGAGCGGGTACATTGTATTGAGGCGGTCGGGCTCGTCTATTGGCCTGAAATTCAAGAGGAACCTCATCTATTTGATCATCCTCAACATCCACATCCCCCACGGCTATGTTTCTGAGATCGTTGTTTGCCATGATTGCATCTACAATACTCACATGTTAGTAATAAGGAAGGAAAAGAAGATATGCCAAAAACATACCTAAATATATAGCTAACATTGTTTTTAGCTCCCCGACAACGGCACCAAAAATTAATCTCGTCCAAGTTCACACATCAATTCGAGGTTATGAAAATGGTCGATGCAATAATAGTACCCAACTAAGTCGGGGTCAAATTCCTCAGGGAGCTATATGTATGGGAGTTAGTAGTATATATCTTAGCGTGTGAGTTTGTATATCTAAATTTGCACTTCACAAAAATTGGTTGTTTTAAAGTTTAATCTAAACTACAATTACAATTTAAGAAATAAAACTTGAAGATTGTTTTTGTTGTTTTTCAAATGTTGTAAAAGGACTAGGGCTATGACCTTCACCTAGGTGTTTGCCTAACGGGTTGTAAACTTTAAAGCATGTTTTATTGGTCGAGATGTATTATAGCTATCAACACTCAGTTACCCACTCAATACCTCTCGGTCAAAGAGTGATTTTGCCCAATTTGGCTTTCTCAAGTCCAAATGGGTATTGAACAAAACGATTGATAAAAAGCTCAAGTCGGGTTTTACTATCTCTAGGTTCAACCCTTTAATTGGGCTATTCAATCTCTTGATTGACCCGATTTCTTGCTAGCCAAGTTTTCCTAGACTAAGTCTCTCTTTCTCAAGTAGAGACCAAGTCAAATAGGCATAAACTAATCTTTGCAACCATTAATTCTTCAAATCAAAGTAAGAACAAGGCTAAATAATAAACACTCAACCATAAACAAGCAATAAATCAAATACCCATTAAGTTTACACACCAGGGTTGGCTCACAACCCTAGTAAAAATCTAGCTACTCATACTTAAAATGGAAGAATTAGGAGAAGAAATGATAATTAAACCCATATTGCTAATTAAATTGATAAACTCTTTGTTCAAAAGCTCAAAATAGCAAAAACTACTAAAAAGAGTAAGAGGAACTGTCTACTGTAGTAGCTGATGTCAAAAATATTAACCTAAAAAGGTTCTGCGGTCTGCACAAATGTGATTGCGGCCGCGTAGCTCCTCTTCGGCGGCCGCACAATAATTGTGCGGCCCGCACTTTTGGTGGACTTGAGATTCTGGTTCTCTGAACTTTTGCTTTGACCCAGCTTCTACGGCTGCACACTTCATGTGTGGACTACACTTTATAACATTCTCTGATAGAAGATTCTTCACAACCTGCAGCCGCAGCTGATATTCTGCGGTCCGCACTTCTGAGCTTTTGTGCATGTTTTTGTCCTTGAGTTCAAATTACTCCTTCTTGAGTTGGATTTCATCTCAAGAGCTCATCTTCCAATATTCCTACAATTAAGTACATTTCATCAGTTTTCGGGAACTCAATTAAGCGCTTTTGGACTAAAACGAAAGCTAAAGGGTGCTAATAAATAGTCAAAATCCTCACTTATCACCTTCAACTACCAAAAGTTTAGTTCACTTCAAACAAAGTATGTGATGCTTGTATTAGAGGAAAACATGTAAAGTCATCTTTTTAATCTATGAAGGTTGTCAGTACTTCTGAACCCCTGGAACTCCTTCACATAGACCTATATGGACCAATGAGGGTGAAGAGCAGGGGAAGTAAGAAGTATGTATTTGTCATTGTTGATGACTTCTCTAGGTACACATGGACCTTGTTTTTGACATCTAAGGATGAAACTTTTGATGTTTTCTGTGTGTTTGTCAAAATGATTCAACAAAAACGGGGAAGTGTTGTTTCAAGTATAAGAACAGACCATAGGACAGAGTTTGAAAACTCCAAATTCCTTGAGTTCTGTAGCACTCATGGCATTGATCACCACTTCTCTGCACCCAGAACTCCACAACAAAATGGTGTTGTGAAAAGAAAGAATAGATCTCTAGAATACATGGGCAAGCCCATGTTAATTTCCAGTGGACTTCCAAGAGCTTTTGGGATGAGGCAGTCAATACTGCCTGCTACTTATTAAATAGATGCATGTCAGACCCATTCTTGAGAAGATTCTCTATGAGTCACTTCGAGGAAAGAAGCTCACTCGCCTAAGAGCTTTTGGGTGCAAATATTTTATGCACAACAATAGCAAAGAATCTCTAGATAAGTTTGATGACAGAAGTGATAGGGAGTTTTCCTAGGCTACTCACCACATAGTAAAGCTTAAAAAGGATTTAATAAAAGACCTATGTGTGTAGAAGAAAATGTTCATGTTATTTTTAATGAACCTAACAACCTTATTGAGAAAGGTTTGCAAGATGAAAACTATGACATAGGGCTCACTGATGAAAGAACCTCTAGAGAACTTGAACAACAATCTGAAGGAGGATTAGGGAATCTTGAGGAAGTTGAGAGTGAATGGGAAGAGCAAGAAGAGGAGAGAACTACACTGATTGATACTCAGACAGATAAAGCTGTAATTACTGACACTGATCCTTTGGGTCACTCCCTGCCTGAACAATCTTTGGGTATGCAAGTTAGGCCATGGAAGCATCAAAGCTCACACCCTTGAGAACATTATCTATGATCCTAATACTGGAGTGCAAACTAGGTCATCTCTGAGAAACGTATATACACTCACAATATTCCTCTCATATGCTAAGCCTAAAAGCATAAAAGAAGCCCTAAAGAACCCAGATTGGATTATAGTCATGCAAGAACTAAACTAGTTTGAGAGAAGCAAGGTCTGGCACCTAGTGCAGAGACCCAAGAACAGAACTGTCATAGGTACCATATGGATGTTCAGAAATAAACTAGATGAACAAGGAAATATCACAATGAACAAGGCCAGACTGGTGGTTCAGGGGTACAATCAAGAGGAAGGCATTGACTAGTCCTTTACCCCTTGTCTCTAGTCTGTTTTCTTAACCCAGTGGTGCATTTTGTTTATTCTAGTTCTGAGTAGGTTGCAAGATGTTTCAGTTTATTTTGTTCTAATGTTTTAGTTCAAGGCCTTGTGCTTAATTTGGCACTACTTAATGAACTCTCTTTTGTTGTTTACATGCTTTTCACATAGTTTTATCATCAGCATAGTTTATTTGTCTTGATATTTCTTGTGCTTGTGTTATAGCCTCGATGGCCATGAATCTTGCATTAACTCTACTTGGATTGTCTAACAGCTTTTTGGTTGTTTTTTCGATGATTCCAAAAGGGGTAAGATAGAGTTTGGGGTGCTTGATGTAGGGGTGCTTGATGTACTTGCTCTGAATTGGGTCACATTGTGTTGGTGTAAGTGCTACTGCTATTGTTATGAGGTGATAGATTACCTGGTTTATGCGCACAAAGTTTGTCATCATCCAAAGGGGAGAATTTATTGAGTATTGGGATTTTTATGATTAACAAAGTGTGTTCAGAGAATGAGCGCTAAGAACGAGGTCCTCAAAGTAGCTGACGAAGTATACTAAGAATCAGGTCCTCAAGATCGTTGTTGAAGGTTCTTACGAGGCAGTAACTTTTTCACAAAGTTACTCTAGTCTGAGATTGTTGGAAGAAGGTTGTTAAGTGATAAGGGTCATTGTCCAAGAAGATATGCTTGCATAAGTGATAGACAAGAGTCACAAGATTTGTGGAGTCCTTGAAACTGTAGGAGTCCTATCAAATGAGAAGTTGACTATGCATAGGACTCCTAAAAGATCCCGGAGCCTAGTGAACTTAAATACTTTCTTGATGGACTAAGGACATTATCTTTTTGCACGTCAACTATGAACAACATTTTCAACACTCAAGTCGATTATTAGTCTTAGTGTTCTTCTTGAGTCAGTTAGTTAATGTGTATTAAAAAATCGAGTTGTAATCAATGTGTCATACATAATTTGCGAGTTGAAGTAATTATTTGAGTTTACAAGTTAGAGTAACTTGTAAGTCAAATAGTGAAAGAGGAGAACTGTGTGGGTATCGATTTACAGGTATTGTAATCGATACATTTGGCTCATTTATTTTAGTAAAGTTGAAGTTAAAATCCTACGTGGTAGGTCGTGGTTTTTGTACATTTGAGCCAGGTAATTTTACACGTAAAAATTGTTGTCTTTGTTTTACTGTTTATATCGTTAATTACTTCTAAGGAGTAAGGTAAAGAATCAAGTTCTTTAGTAATTTAGGAAGGCACTCAAACTAACAAGAAGCCCAAGAATGGGTTAAAAGGAGCTCACGCATGAAGAATAAGCATGACTTAAAACTGATATTGGTTGAAAGTAACACATGCGCTAAAAATAAGCATGAGTTTAAACTGGCATTGGAGCCCATGCGTTATAAATAGGCATGGTTTAAAACTAGCATTGGTTAAAAGGAGCCTAAATATGGGTTAAAAAATAGTTGTTATTTCTATAAAAGATGTAGCAACGGGGGTTTTGAATATTTGTGATTGCAATTTATCTCCACATGTAGCATCACGTTTAAACTTTTTGGATAAATTTTCATTATCGTCAAATTAGTTGCGGCTTGATTTGAACCCACCTAAATCTGTTTTCGATCTTGCTTTGAACCATTGGCTCTAATACCACTTGTTGAGATCGAAATAATATGGTGCATGCGAAAGCCAACAAAAACAACTTTGATGACATTGAATCAGGCATAAAACAAACATATTAAAAGAAACTATTGTTTAAAAAATAGGACATTATAATGGGGTTTGGTCAATTGACCTACATATAAAAACTAGTATAAAAATATAAAAATTATTGAGAGAAAAATCTCCCATAAACAAGACTCTTTAATGACTACATTGTGGAAGGTTGTTGTTGTTTGAGAAGGATCGGAAGCCTTAATTTATAGAAGTACAAAACTTCTCTTCTAAGAAAAGGATAAGACATATGAAGGAGGTTTAATCATTTTAGAAGTCTTTTTTTCTTCCTTCAAGAAAGAGAATCCTAATAGATTAGACATTCAGGGCAAAATCTTAACATCTCGACCGTTTGTGATTGATTAATGCGGAAAAGAATATAACTTTGAACGTCTTTTTTTAACCCTCTTATAAGCAATTGTTTTGAATGATAAAGAGAGAATGAATTTGACGAGTTTGGCAGAATAACAGTAGAAAGAAAAGAGTTGTTATAACACGTTGAAGATCTAAAATAAATAGATAAATTGTTCCATCTCTCATCACTTAAGAATTTTGACAAGGTGATCACACGGTATGATAGGTAAAATTAGGTGTCTGAGGTCTTTGGTTCAAGTCTCATCCCTCACGCATGCATTTACACCAATATTTTCACGTGCTTGACTCAAGAAAAAAGAATCTAACTCTCATATTAGGAGGCTCTTCATAAATTCAAGAACTTGAGAATGAAAAGGCAAATTACGAGACCAAAAATGAAACAACAATGAAGCTTAGACTTTTTTCTTTACTATCTCACCAATACCATAAATGGCGAATCATTAACAAATTTTAGAGGTGTAATTTTTAAAAATCTCTCAGAGATACTTTCTAACACACAGGCAGTCAGTAATTTAACGAAATTAAGTTTTCAGCTATCAAAAAAGCCTTGACTAAATTTCCTTTGCTAATCGTTTTCTATAATTGAGAATATAATGTTTTGAACGAAATGGAAGGGCCATAATCCCTTCACCTTCATAAAAGTTCCTTGGATTATTTTTAGTAAAATGCATACGTTTCATGATACTGAAGTCATCGAGAAAAATTAAAACTAGTGGATCCCACATGTTGACATCGTAAATTATAGAGAGAGGGAAAAAAGTGATAACATTCGTCCCTCTTTATTAATCCAAAAATGCAAGTAACCTAGTGTCGAAAAGAAAAACAAATCCATATTAAATCAGCACTCTTTTTAAAGTTGAAAGTTGGTATTAAAAAGTTTCTTTGCCGTATGGTTGCAATTTTATTGGAGAGGGACTGTTTTTTTTAATTTTTTCCTGCTACATTATCACGAGGATATGACAATATTTTCTTTGTTTACGTAATAGTGGTGTTTGGACCAACTTGAACATATCTAAATTAGTTAATATATAGGTATCACCAAAACTTAAGCAGATTCAAAGAAATTAACTAATGGTTTTTGTCTCTGCTGCAATTTGAACTCAGCTCTTCAAGGTTTTCATCCACTTCTTTTGCAACTAGGCCACACATATTTTTAATTACATCAGGGGTGGAAGAGAAAGAAAATACTATACTGATAAAATTTAAAAGCCACCACTTGAATTGAGGAAGGTAGCGAGCTTACCAAGTGAACTCTAGCCTTCAACTCTACTAGACCACATCCTGTTGTTGTGCTTTGAGGTTATGACAATGTTGCAATTAACTCAAGTAAGTATAACTAAAAAATAGATACTACTTCTGACATATTATTTGTCTTTTAAAATTGCATACAGCTTAATAAAGATAGACATATAACAGCGTACGTCTTAATTATAACAATTTTTGTCTTAATTATCCTTTACATATATATGTCATCTTAAGCACCCCATTTAATTGACAATCCACTAATTGGAAAAGAAAGACTCAATATACAAAGAAAACTTTATAATGAATGACTGCTAAAAGAAATTTAAAACGCCAAATATTTTGGAATAAATTTAGTCAAAACAATTACTTGCCCACATATGGTGTTTACCAAACCAATCAATTTAATCTTAATATTTAAAAATTAAAGTGAGAATACATATCATTATTCATTAACTATTGTTAAGTGATAAATGCATATATGAAAGACATTTGTCTTAGATTCAATAATTTTGTTGCGTATATGAAAGACATTTATCTTGAATTCAATGATTTTGTAAACATCGGGTGTATGTAAATTCTTATACTTTTCCGCATTAATCGATCACAAGAGACTCTTTCCTTTTGTAGTATATATAAGTTTCAAAAATTAGAATGCCAGGAGCTATAGATCTATTTGTTTTCTAGGTATCGTTTTATATATATATATATATATATATATATATATATATATATATATATATATGCATACACACTCTATTTGTTTTTTCAATTTTAGATTAACCTTATATTTTTAACATAATTTGAAAAGTTTTTAGGAAATTTTGTGTGCATTTTCTAGTGCCAAGCTATAAATAGAAGGAATTTTCTTTTCAATTGAGAAAACCACTCTGATAGAACTATGGTGAAATATTATTATTATTATATATAAATAATAAATTAAAACATAATATCAACGTAGTAGATATTATGGTGATATAATATCATAATAGCATGCCTTCTTCTCATAAGGAACTAAAGTAAAGTAAACGATAATGTCAACTAGTAGATGACAAAGAACATAAATTGACCAAGTGCATAGTTATTATGATATTCTAGCAAAACCTTAAACTTATTAGGAAATCCAGGTATTAACTGATTGGCATGCTCTCTCTATTTTTGTTTTTCAAGATTGGCATTCCCAACTTAATTTTCATGAGTTTTGAGAAGCATGACTCCTCGTGAAATAACTGTTCTAGTTCTATTAGTTACTATATGTCTTCTTGTACCATCAATCTTCTGCTTAATCTGTTTAGCATGTCGAATGCATCTCGAAGCTATTCGCCGGCGCCGTCTTCGGGTTTTCGCGGCAACATCTCCATCGCCTCAGGTTTCCTCTGTGACAATTTCTCTACATACTTCAGGCCTCGATGACTGCACCATTCAGTCGTACCCAAAGGTAAGCAGAATTAGGGCATGCACTACTAAATAAACAGGAATTAGTCGATAGCTAAATAGAAAAATTCGTATTAGCGATGAATTATCAAAGAAATTCGGTTAGATACGAGCAATTTAACGACAGGTTAGCGATAAAGTTCATAACTAATTCCATTTTATTTTTATTTTTTGTAGTGGCAGATTCTGTAAGTTCAATTGAACAGATTATTTTTAGTTCGAACTATATATACATAAGCAAGAAAGTTTTAAAATGTACACGTATAATAAGATCATATGACTTTTGATTTTGAATTTGCCCTTTGTAGGTAATCCTTGGTGAAAGTAGACGTCTTCCGGGGCTTAACGCACCAACTTGCCCAATATGTCTAGTTGAGTACAGTGCTGGAGAGTCAGTGAGGCTTATACCTTTGTGTCAACATAGCTTCCATGCCGACTGTGTTGATGAGTGGTTAAAGATGAAGGGCACCTGCCCCGTTTGCCGAAATTCTCCACCTATCTTAGAAAACCACAAGCTTGACCAAATTAGCGCCGAGGGTGCAATGGAGTGATTGGAATTTCTAACATTTTACCATAGAGATCTCGAGTTCAAGCCTAGGAATGGAAAAGGTAGGAAGCATTCTCCTTAGAGAGATTAACCAGGCGCGACTCCAAATTAATCATGTCAGTTAGTACCAAATATTTCATGGTTAAACCGAATTAAAAGAAGTCCAGTAGTTTTATAAGAAGCTGACAAAACATTTTGGTTATTGTAATAATTAGTCGTATTCACATCATTGTAAGCCCTGAGTTAAGCTGTTGATTGCAAAGTATTGCAAAGTGCTACCTCGTAGAGATGTTTGACTTTAATTTATTTTGGAATTAAGATTAATGAACATTGTTCACTTAATCATGGACAGGACTTCCGTTAACTCATGATTTACAGTTCTTTAATTTCCCCACCTTCTTTCCTCGCCCTTAAGTAGTTTTAATTTTTACCAAGAATTTTATCCTATTGAAATTCACTCGTGTTCCACGATTTTGTTTTTGGCTTTGTTTTTTATTTTTTTGGTTTTGTTGTGTCTCCCCTTTTTCTAGTACTAAGGACCAATATATCTTCTCAAAAGTAAGAGAGTTTGCTTAGTGGCGAAACCGGAAATTTCTCACTAAGGATGTTCAAATAAATTTAATGGGTACATCAGTAAAAAATATTTTTTTGATTAATGGGTGCATGGGAAATAAAAATTATTCTCGCTAACTGAAATTTATTTGCAAATATCCTATCATGTCTACGGTAAAACTAACCTATTTTACGATAAAATAAAGGTACAAAACAAAAAAAGGAAAGTTTCATAACTAAGCAATGATAAAAAAAAAAAAATACGTATATCGGAAATTTCTTTACGATTGTGCAAACCTCATAGGGTCTAATAGAACTATGGTGAAATATAATCGACTTGGCCCAAAATGTTGACGTATGATGATGATTATATATAGTATGGCTTCACAACAACAAACTCAGTAGTTTCCCATGAGTGGGGTCTGGGGAGGGTAAGATGTAGGCAGTCTTACCCCTACCCCTGGAAGAGCAGAGAAGATGTTTCCGATAAGACCCTCGGCTAGAGAACAAGTAGGAATAAAAGCAAGATGAAATAAGATCGAATCTAAGAATGCGGTCAAACTTTAGGTAGTAATAGCCATTTATGAATAAAAGATAACATATTAACACTAATGCTAGCGAACTGAGTAAGAGAAACGCTCGACTACCTACTAATCTTCTACCCTAATCCTTGATCTCCACACCCTCCTGTCTAGGGCCATGTCCTCAATCAGCTCCAGTTGCGCCATGTCCCGCCTAATAACCTCTCCCCAAGACTTCTTAGGCCTACCTCTACTCCTCTTGCTGCCCACCAAGGCTAACCGCTCACACCTTTTAACTGGGACTTCTATACTTCTCCTCTTAATGTGCCCGAACCATCTCAATCTCGCCTCCCGCATCTTATCCTCCACAAGAAATAAATTAAAACATAATATCAACTTAGTAAATATGATGATGATAATATATAGCATGCCTCCTTCACACAGGGAAATGATATTTTCAACCAGTAGATGACAAGAACACAAATTGACCAAGTGCATATATAGTTATATGATAATATTCTAGCAAAACCTTAGACTTAATAGGAAATCCAGATAATAATTGACTGGAATGCTCTCTCTATTAACAATTTAACATTGTGGTTCCATAAGCATGTCTCCTCATCAAAATATTGTTCTAGTCCTATTAGTTACAATGTGCCTGTTTGTGCCATCCATCTTCTGTTTAATCTGTATAGCATGTCGCTTGCATCACGAAGCTATTCGCCAGCGCGTTGCCGGGTTTTTGGCCGGGGCACCATCGCCGTCGCCTCAGGTTTCCTCCGTGATAATTTCTCTACCTACTTCTGGCCTTGATGACTGCACGATTCAGTCATACCCAAAGGTAAGCAGAAGGCAGATTCAGGACGAATTCTATGAGTTCAACTGATTACTTTTAGTTCGAACTATATATACATAAGCAAAAAATATTAAAGTATATACATATAATAAAATCACACTCACTCATTGTGAACTTACTGTCTTTCGATTTTAAATTTGCCATTGTAGGTAGTCCTTGGTGAAAGCCGACGGCTTCCGGGGCATAACGCACTAACTTGCCCAATATGTCTAGTTGAGTACAGTGCTGGAGAGTCAGTGAGGCTTATACCTTTGTGTCAACATAGCTTCCATGCCGATTGTGTTGATGAGTGGTTGAAGATGAAGGCCACCTGCCCTGTTTGCCGAAATTCTCCACCTCTTTTGGAAAACATAAACTTGACCATTTGTAGATAGTACAATAACTATTATCTCCGAGGGGTGATTGAAATTTCAATATTTAACCATAGGGAGCTTATCCAGGCACGATTCCAGATTAGTCGTATCAGTTGGTTTCAAATATTTGATGGTTAAACCGAATGTAATTGTTGTTGCCCTTTTAAACTTCATGTGCGGAATGAATGTTCTCATTGATTTAACTAATCATGTTTTTTATAGGTTGGTTTCGAGGGGGTTCTTTTCAGATGGGAAGGAAACTTGAAACATTTTTTATAACTTCCAATAAAGCCAAGAAGTTCGTTGCTCTCAATGAGATCAAAAGAGGAAATACTTTAGCAACAATTAAACGCATACAAGAGATTTTTCATAACATTTTTCATAACATCTGTCTCACGCAAAGGTTAATACTGAAAAATGTCATACAAGCAAAGCAAAGATTTTGGTTGAGTGGTAAATACTCATTCATCATTCACTAGAGATCTCGAGTATGAAGTCGCCTTTAATAGGGAGCGTCCTACCCCTAACGTGGGACCTTCCGACGCCATTAGATAAAAAGAAAAAAAAAATGAGAGAAGAGAATCGAACCAACTAGAGGATTCTGCGACGATTCTTCAAGTGACTTATTAACAAATGCTGCCGTTAGCTTAGTAGATGGTACCGTTAACTTTTGCGATACTGTTACAGCTTAGACCAAAGCTATCCACTTTTTCAAACTTAAAAGGATGTTTTATATTCAGCAGTATTTACAAAGAATCAAAATATTCCAATACACATACTTTAAGGGAATGTCCTGGTTTTTCGCTCTATTGCTCTCAGTGACATCAAAATGGGAAATATCTAAAGGCTACAGCTTTAGCAACTATTAAACGTATACAAGACTTTTTCATAACATCTGTTTCACACAATGCTTAATACTAGACAATATCATACAACAAATTATACCTTGAGGAAGATACACTATCAATTACCGAGTGACATCCACATCAGGTCGCGCTCATAACTGCATGAGGTCTCCGATGTGAAAGAACAAAACAATGTAAGCAACAGAAGTCGGACAAAATGGATCTGTAACTTCAGGAACTCAAATTGTTTAACTCTTTAGAGATTGAGATGCTTGAATTGTAGAGTATGTTCAATAATTGACAAGTTGTGTCTCCCATCATTTGCATCCCTTATAATCTGTCATGAGATAGAACAGCAGAAAAATATTCTTTTCTGATTAAGGTATATCAAGTATCAAAAGAAACTTCCTGGTGGAGCAGCTATTAGTAGTACTTACTCCAAGTACTTATCACAAAAGATAAAAAGAGACATCATGCTTGAAATGAATTCTAATCATATACCACTACACTGGCAAAAACCTGAATGTACTGAAGCTAGTAGAGAGTCATCTGTAAAACAAAATTCTTGTACATTTCTCTGGAAAATGATTTCCAAAGGCAACACTGGTATAACAAAGTTGAACACCTAAATTCTAAGAAGACTTGCCAACTTCAATGAGGTTACAATATATCAATCCTACAAGTGGAACAAAATCTACACAACTTTTCTCCTACCAATCACCTTTGGCATCGTTGAAGAGGGTTGCTGCGGCTAAATCATGATTTCACATCTTACATTCAATAACTGATTGCTAGGGACCGAGATGTGACCATTTACTAGCAAAATTTGTAGAGCTAGTGCACGAGATCCCCATTCCATAGTGAGGATAAGAACGACCAGCAACACGCCAGCCCTCGCCACTGTTTCTTGCATCACCACTTCTCAGTCTTCTTTCTGCTTAATATTCAAGGGATGAAAAATCAGCATCTTTCAAAAGACAATTCTTTCGAGAAAATGATCTTCCAGAACAATTAAATCCTCCTATTGAGATGTATGTATGATGCATTGACAAAGTTAAAAAATGTTTCACCCAAAAAAAAAAAAGGAAATAGGCAGTGGATACAAAGTACTCCTATCAGTCAGAGCATCATTTGTCAACACATTAATACGATGTACTCCTGCGGTATTTAGAGAAGGATATAAGCAACTATACAATCTCCAAGATATAATTGAACTTGCAATGATTACTAAACCCAACTCTGATGTCTTCTCCATTAATCTAACATCTAAACTACAACAATTTTTTTTTTATAATTAAACTCAACAACAACAACAACAACCACCCAGTAGAATCCCACTAGTGGGGTCTGGGGAGGGTAGAATGTACGCAGACCTTACCCCTACCCCGGAGGGATAGAGAGGCTGTTTCCGGGAGATCCTCGGCTTAGAGACAATAGATCCGCAACCACAACAGAAAAATAGTATCAGCATCGTAAAATACAGCAAATAAATGGAAAGGCCAAAACGTGAAAGACAACAAAAAAAAAATTTAATAAATAAATAAATAAATTATGAAACACAACAAAAATCGCTAGTAGTCCTAGACAAAACACTATCAGACTAGCCGGTGCAGCGAGGAGAAACGCTCGACTATCCTCTAACTTACAACCCTAATGCTCGACCTCCACACCTTCCTATCAAAGGCCATGTCCTCGAAAATTTGAAGATGCGCCATGTCCTGCTTGATCACCTCACCCCAGTACTTCTTAGGCTGCCATCTACCTCTTCTCGTAACTGCCAGAACCAAACGCTCACACCTCCTGACCGGAACATCTGGGCTCCTCCTCCGCACGTGCCTGAACCACCTAAGCCTCGCTTCACGCATCTTGTCATCCACGGGAGCCACGCCCACCCTCTCCCGAATGACCTCATTCCTAATCTTATCCATCCGAGTGTGCCCGCACATCCATCTTAACATCCTCATTTCTGCTACTTTCATCTTCTGGATATGTGAAATCTTGATTGGCCAACACTCAGCCCCATACAACATGGTCGGTCTAACCACCACTCTGTAGAACTTACCTTTAAGTTTCGGTGGTACATTCTTGTCGCATAGGACTCCAGACGCTAACCTCCATTTCATCCACCCCACCTCGATACGGTGCGTGACATCCTCGTCGATCTCCCCATCTCCCTGGATAATAGACCCTAGGTACTTGAAACTCTCTCTCTTAGGGATGACTTGTGAGTCAAGCCTCACTTCCACATCCGCTTCCCCCGAAAAATTGCTAAACTTACACACCAAATATTCCGTCTTGGTCCTACTCAACTTGAAACCTTTAGACTCCAGGGTCTGCCTCAATTCCTTCAGTCTCACGTTAACGCCGCCTCGCGTCTCATCAATCAGAACTATATCATCAGCGAACAGCATACACCAAGGCACCTCCCCTTGAATATGGTGTGTCAGTACATCCTTCGGCAGGGCAAATAAGAATGGGCTGAGCGCAGATCCTTGGTGTAACCCCATAACCACTGGAAAAGGCTCNATCAATCAGAACTATATCATCAGCGAACAACATACACCAAGGCACCTCCCCTTGAATATGGTGTGTCAGTGCATCCATCGCCAGGACAGATAAGAACGGGCTGAGCGCAGATCCTTGGTGTAACCCCATAACTACCGGAAAAGGCTTTGAGTCACCTCCCACTGTCCTAACCCGAGTCTTAGCTCCATCATACATATCTTTTATCGCCCTAATATAAGCTACCGGAACACCTTTCACCTCCAGGCATATCCAAAGAACGTCCCTAGGGACCTTGTCGTACGCCTTCTCTAGGTCAATAAACACCATGTGCAAATCCCTCTTCCTATCTTTGTACTGTTCCACCAACCTCCTAATAAGATGGATAGCTTCCGTAGTAGAACGACCCAGCATGAACCCGAATTGGTTCTCTGATATAAACACCGCCCTCCTTACCCTCTCTTCCACCACTATTTTGTGTTCACGCTGCAATTGTTAGTGTCTTATTGGCAAGAAGGCAGCATCCAATTTATATTTCATTCACCATAGGCATCTTTTGCCTCAAAAGACTTCTCTAAGAATTTATGAATGGCTTACAGTACATCATAATACATGACAAAGTCAATGATCCAAGTAAAACAAGCTAGAGAAACTGGGCTGTAAAGGCACATGAGGAAGCAGACTTGACAAACATATAATAAGCAAAAACCAGATAAACACAAAGTAAAATACTATGATTCGAATGAACTTCTCCAAATCATGAGTTTGAGGTATCCTTAGAACCAACTAAAAATATTACCTTTGATAATGCAGTGAAGATGGTCGATCAGGAGAAGACCATTGCCCAGAGACTGCATGAAATCTCTGTTCCTCAAGTGCTCCCCCCCTTAGTCGACTTCCATCGCCTGACTGGACTTGTTCATTTACACCTGAGAAACCTACTGGACTCACAGATCCGAACTCAAGCTGTTCTCCATGTGAATTATATGTAGAATTATGGTCAAACGGATAAAACATTACAGCAGGAGGGGTTGAAGACATTGCACTTGGGTTCATTGATGTTAAAGGATACATGCCATACACCGTATTGAGAGGGACACTCGGGCTTGAGTTTGCATGCAATGGACCATTTTGGGACGGATATGAAGAGGAGTCGTGTCTATGAGAGCTCCATGATCTGTCAGTTCGGCTCTCACTGGACGCTGGCCGATCCAATCTTGAGTTTAATTTCTCAGATTGGCTGCGGTTGTAGTTGCGCCCACCAGCTCGGGATTTCGAATTCGCATTCCAGTTACCCTCTCTGTCACCAAAGTTATCATTTCTGTCATGGTTATAATTCCCCCTTCTTGTACCAGAAGAGTGACGATCCCTGACCGAAGCCTTCTGAAGTAATAGTCAAATCGCAAAGATAAAATATCCACTAGAAATGACATTACCACACATCTTAGTGAAACAGATCTTATACATCAAAACAGAAGAGTAAGCACTGAACAGACATGAAATCTAGTTTCACCAACTAGAGAGACCGGGCCAAGGTGTAATGTGTCTGAGCCTCATGAACATTGAATAGGCAAAATGCTCATTGCACCCCTCGGCATAAATTGAAAAACATGGTAAGGCAAAGCGGAGTGAGGCTTCACTTAAAAAAATATATTCTTTTAAGACTCTGGACAA